AATTTGAGAGATCACTTTATTAACCTTTATGCTTATAATGGTCCATTTTGGACACCCTTTACATTAGCCACTGTTATCCTAGTCATTGATATACTGTACCAGTAGGATCATTTTAATCATGATATGTATTTCACTGTTGTTATTGTATCAGTAACATATTATTTAAGTTATCAATTTCTCCAGTGTAAGATTTTAACAATTAGGAAAATATTGAATATTGTGTGCTTTAAGGTATTGGAATGCTTGAGTAACATACCATTAAACTTGATTGTCTTGTTCTATATTTACGATCTACCCTGTCTAATACTCTCTTATTTGTAATGTTACTACCTTATGCTAAAACAGGCATGCTCTTTGACATATATGAAGGTCAGATCACAGCAATTTTGGGTCACAGTGGAGCTGGCAAATCTTCACTCCTAAACATCCTTAATGGATTGTCTGTTCCAACAGAAGGTGAGCACAGAGATATCTCTCAAAACACCATGTCTGATAAGAGAACAAAGTCGTATGTTTGATTCTCTCACTTAAAATTTAAAAGCTTGAGAGCAATAATGTTAATCTACAGTTGTTTCCCTGCTAGGCATGGTGACGCACACCTGTAATCCCAGTGACTCTGGAGGGTGAGGCAGGAGGATCCAAGTTCCAGGCCAGGCTGAGAAACTTAGTGATCCCCTAAGTCAAAAGAAAATTAAAAAGGGCCAGGGATATAGCTCAGTGGTAGAACACCCTGGGTTTAATCCCCAGTACTGAAACAAACAAGCAAATAAACAAAAGTTGCTTCCCCAAACTATATAATTTTGAATATATTTCTTATTTCCCCAAATTTCATGAATATCTTTTCTATTTCATTGTGTGACATTTCATGGGAAATATGTACAACTATAAGCATATATTTATCTTATAAATGATTAGTAATTATTAATAAGTCATTATTTTAGATATTTGTGAATATGACAATATTTTCTTGAATAACATCTCTACAAAATAATAAAATATATTATCTTGCCAACATCAAATTATTTTTAACTTCTTTTCTTAGGATCAGTTACCATCTATAATAAAAACCTCTCTGAAATGCAAGACTTGGAGGAAATCAGAAAAATAACTGGTGTTTGTCCTCAAAATAATGTTCAAATCGACATGCTCACTGTGAAGGAAAACCTCAGCCTGTTTGCTAAGATAAAAGGGATTCGACCACAGGAAGTGGAACAAGAGGTAGACAGGCATGCTTAGATTAATTAAGCTGCTGATCATTGACCAAGTTAAATCATGACCACAGAATTCTTATCAGTGATTTCTCAGTCCTGTTGTAAATAAAATTTAGGCAAAGAGGTCCTCTAAAAAATATCTACCACTTTGATGGGGAGATATTATTTCACCGTCTGAATTATTTTATATTCTAAGTTTTATGTATTTTCTTGTATAGGTACAACAAATTTTATTGGAATTGGACATGCAAAATATTCAGGATAATCTTGCTATACATTTAAGTGACGGACAGAAAAGAATGCTGACCTTTGGGATTGCCATTTTAGGAGATCCTCAAGTGAGTAAGATTATGTACAGTGGAGAAAGCAGATAGAATGTCATAAAGAGTCAGCTCTTTGATCACTAAATATGGTAGAGCGCTCCTTGTACTTTATCTAAAGAGAATCTGCTAAGCATAATGAATAAATACATTGGTGACAAATGATTGACTATTTATTTGTATTTATAATTTTCATGCTATCATGTGGAAATAGTTAATGTGGAATAGAGAGATGTTGTTGTATCTCTTTGTTCTGTGTAGGTTTTGCTTTTAGATGAACCAACTGCTGGATTAGATCCCTTTTCAAGGCACCAAGTGTGGACTTTCCTGAAGGAACGTAGAGCGAATCATGTGATCCTCTTCAGTACCCAGTCCATGGAGGAGGCTGACATTCTAGCTGGTAATTGTTGGTTTTATTGCAGTATCAACAATGAAAAATTGGGGAAATTTAAGAGAAATGTTTGTTCTCAGGGTAAAAACCCTTTTCTCATTACTGCCATGTGTCCACTTTGTAAAATCTGAAGGTTTTTATTTTTGTTTCAAATTACCTAACAGTTCATTCAAACATCCAAATCTTCTTTCATATATATTTGGTTAAAAAATAGCCACTTGTCCTTTAGAATCCAAAGTAAAGGATATACCCATGTAATTTGTGGCATTTTACCCCCAGAAAATATTGGCAGGTGCTGAAATAGATTGATGTTGATGAGTTCAAAATGCATTAATGTGAATGTGTGTTTCAATATTAAAATACATAGTGCATATCCTTATTTTTATAATTTGTCTCTTACTTACTTTATTTATTTTTTATTAAATTATTTATTTGTTTTTTAAAATTATTTATATATTTTAATTTGTCATACATGATGGCAGAATGTAATTCATTTCATATTACATATATAGAGCACAGTTTTTCAAGTCACTGATTGTATACAAATATTTTCACACTACTCTTGTCTTCATACATGTACTTAGGATAATGATGCCTAACTCATTCTTTATGTCCCATACAACACTTCTCCTTTGGAATTCTGAGCTTTAATTTCCCATCTATATTTTCTAGAGAGAAAAGATATGACTCCTCATATCCTTTCTCACTTGCATTTTTTACTCAGATAGAAAAGTGATCATGTCCAATGGGGAACTGAAGTGTGCAGGATCTTCTGTCTTTTTAAAGAGAAAATGGGGTCTTGGATATCACTTAAGGTAAAGACTTTGGGAAAAGCCTGAATATGTATGTTTTCAGTACTGGTTTATAACAAAGTTGGACAGCTACAAGTGTGAACTGCTCTCATGCTTCATTACAGTTATACCGGATTCGTAAGTGTTTTCTAATGATGTTCCTACTTTCTGGCCTCTCTATGTCTTTTCTAATATTAGTTCTGGGCACAATGTCAACATTACAAGCCAAAGCTGCCTTGTCTCATCAGGACTGCTTCATGTACCATAGGTAGCTGTTCTGTGCAGCCTAAATCTCTACTTTCCTCCCACTCTCCATTTTTCTAAGCGGATTTATACATTCCGGTCATACATTTTCACCCCTTCATAAGGCTCAATGGCAAATATTTTTGGAAGCCATTTTCAACAGAGAGTAAATATGGTGTGAGAGAGTGGTGAGACCTGTGTCTAACTAGAAACAGTATGTCTAGGCTAAAAAAAATGTAAAAGCCCAAATCTATGGCCAAACAAAACACGGATGTGGGCCAAGTTTCTCTATGAGCCAATAAATTCTGACACCTACACTTTCAGGTGTAATAAGTTCCCCAAAGGAGTCTCTTCTGTCTAATATTTTCACCTCCCTCTGTTTATCTTCATAGTAGGTATATAGTTTTAATCACAATAAGTTATGTGTTTCTTTGTAATTAGTTTATATTCCTTTTATATTTAGATTATAGATTTTCAAACTGATGGATTATTATTTTTTCCTCATTTTGTTTATTTCATAAAGCCAAGTAAAGTAGTACTCTAAATTTTGAATTTAAAAAACCTCTTCTGTGGTAACAGTATAGAAAAATACTAATGCTTTTTCTTTTCTTTTGATTATTAGTTTGTATAAGAACGAGATAAGTGATCCAGAACAAATCACATCTTTCATTAATCATCATATCTCTGATGCTAAATTAAAACTAGAAAACAAAGAAAAACTTGTATTTACTTTGCCTTTGGAAAGCACAAGTAAATTTCCAGGTAACTTAAACATGATTACAATGGAATGAACTTTGGGATCAATGTTCACATTATTATAACGATTTTCATTATTTATGGACTTGATTATTTGTCTTGGGCTGGATTATTTGAGAATAATAATTTGAGATAAGAATTTGAGTTTAATAAATTTTTTGGTAGTCTTTCCCTAAAAGGACCAGCAAAAAGTGGAGACATAAGAGAGGGAAGGAAGGAAGCCAGGGAATTTTGCATTATCAAGCAATTTAGCCATTGTAGGCAATTCAAGTGCAATATCACAGGGGTAGGGGTAGGGAGAAAAGATTTAAGTATGTGAGCACAGAGTCAAGTCACCATAGGGGTAAGGCAGTTAGGGTAATTACGCACTACTCTCTATCTGTCATTGGGTAAGGGTTAGATCCCGGTACATTAACTGTCTGGCCCTCTGGCTTCCTTTGAACATGACCTTAGCATAATTCTAAGGCTAGAAAAGGAATCTCAAGACAGGTAAGTGTGTTTAATAAGCTGATTCACTGACACTAGGAGAGTGCAGAACAGGTGAAGGTGAGGTATCAAGGTCTCTGCTACAGGTTTCTTTTTGTGTTTTAATTTTAATAAGCTCCTTTGGATGATTTGAACATGTATTTATTTTGCAAGGAAAAAAACCATAGCTTATTTATTTTACAAAAGTGTTCAACAAGCCAGACATGGTGGCACATGCCTGTAATCCCAGGCAGAGACAGGAACCTGAGACAGGAGGATGGCTAGTTCAAGGCCAGCCTATGACAATTTAGTGAGATCTTGTCTCAAAATAAAATTAGAAAGTCTGTAATGAGACTCAGTGGTAGAGTGCCCCTGGGTTCAATCCCCAGTAGCAAAGAGAAAAAAAGGAAATGTTCACCATGGGTTACCACCTGCTGGGTGGAAATATCAAGGTAGGTTCTGACTGACAAATAATCCTAACATCTTACAATGGGTACTATGTGTTAGACACTGTCCTAACGAGTTCATATGTATCAACTCATTAAGTACTGACAGCTATTCTTTGAGGTGGGTGATATAATTTTCTCCATCTTATAAATGAAGGAATATATTTAGTCTCTTGTTATTTAATAAGCATCTTCCTTTTGGTTTAAACATTTAATTTATTAAATATTTAACCATAGGTCTCATTTAAATAAGCCATTTTCAATTATTTAGTTCATTAGACAAATACTCAGGAATTCAGATTTTAGCCACACTTCCAAATATGGCAGGTCTCTCTAACCTCGAAGTAGCATGGAAGATGATATTCTAAACTATGTTGTAGTGTTCTTGGACTAAGCCCCCCTACGATTGTACCTGGCCTACCTTCATTTTGGGGCAGAGAAAGAGGATAGGGAGGCATTTGCTGGTACTCCTACTGGAATATGCCATGTAGCTAGAGTTTCTGTTGTTGATGTCCCATCACACAGCAACCTTGTTATACATACCCCAGGCCTCTGGTACTCTAATGCCATGCCTACATCCATTATAGGATATGTGACTCCAGGTCCCCTGAAAGCCACAGGTAGACCATAGGAAATCACAGTGCTTGGTAGAGCCTTGTCCATCTATTTCCTTTCAGTAAGGATAGTGGCCCATTACCCTCCTATTCAGAAGTTAGAATGAGGGAGCCTTCTTTATGAAATTCACAGTTTCATCCAAGTACCCCTAGGAAAGAGATACATAGTAAACAAATGCTTATTGTAAATTCATTATCTGAAAGAAACTACTTCAGGCACCAGAAATATAGATTAAATGAATCCCTACCCTCATGGAGCTTACATTCAACTGGGTGGGTGAAAGTGGGAAAATAAATAGTATAATAGTTGTATGATAAAATAATAAAGCTACATGAGTTAGAGTGGTGGCTGTTGTATAATTGGAGTTTATGTAGAGTAGTCATAGAAAGGCCACAAGAAGGAAATGGTCAGATGTTCTTCAAGTAAAGGGTAAGCGTATGTCTAGAGGTCAGTGATGAGGGAGGAAAGTGGAGAGTAGGGGTGGGTAAGGTGGTGAGGTTAGATGGACAGTGGCTCTCCATCTCCATGAACCAGAGAGGCTTTTGTGTTGACGTTGATTGATTAATGAGGGGTTGATGTGATATGACTTTTATTTTCATTCTCTGGATAAAGAAGATCTCTGGATGTAGAGGAACAAAGAGTATACACTAGGAAACTGGCCTCAGGGCCACTTCGGAGGTAGAAATAAAAGATGATATTGTATAGGCTAGATGATAAGGATGGGAATGTCTTTGAAAGGTATTTGTTGGTAAAGCTGGAAAGCCTGACTGATGTGTCTTGCACACATGAATGTGAAGAAAAGTGTGAAAAACTAAGCGGGACTTCTAGAATTTTGGCTTGAATCACTGGATAGAAAATGGTGGCATTTATTGAAAGTCATGGTTGGAACAATTTGACCAAAAGCGGCAGGAAAAAACAAAGTTCTCTTTTAGGAATGGTAACCCACAGATATCTTTTGACTTCTCAGTGGTCAAGTATATTGTTGCTACAAGGACATTAGAAATAAAAGACAGTGTGAGACTTGAAAATTTGGGAGTCTTCAGCATATAATGAATTGGGGACCAGATATGTGTATATGGAGAGAAAAAGCAGTTTAGGACTGAAACCTTGGAAGAGAGCAGAGTTTGAGAAGCTAGGAGGGATGTAAATTGAGAGTTCTGAAAGAAGCTAGAGGAAAAATAGTATAACGTGTTCATAATCAAGATGGAAAATTCCAGATGTGGGACTGTTGAACTGTTTTGAATGCCACAGGGTTAAAGAAAAGAAAAGGGAATGATTGAGTTAAAAGGAAACAAGAAAAATAAAGACTTGTTCACTAAAGTTGAAAATGCAAAGATTTTGGTGACCTGAAAAAAAGAAAATTTTTTGTGGAAGCATATGAATAGCGTTGGGATTTGAGGGGATTAAGTATAGCTAGGACTGACAAATAAAGGCAGAGAAATCTGTGGAAGAAATAATGTTGTTTTGTTGCTATTGTGTGTATTTGTTCAATGGATACTATATAATTTTGGATTGTTGTTGGATGGCCCAGAATATATTGAATAAACTGAGGATGGAGGAGAGAGAGAGAAAAGACCACTTTGGAAAGTCTTTGAAATGCTGAGACTGGAAGAAATTTGGGACTTAGGTGAAACAGGGATACCTTTTGAAGGAATGGCTGCAAGTCTTTCTCCCATACAGAAGGAAGACCCAGGATTTAGAAAGAGGTATATTTGAATTTATAGTGTGAGGTGAGGAAATAATGGTCTTCCTGATTGCTCATATTTTTTTTCAAGAAGTCTTCAGGATATTTGTAAACTATGGGTTGAAGATAGAGAGAGGCCGTTTGAAGAACAAGTCTGCAGACTCAGAGATTACGAGCCTTTCAATAGAATTTTGCTTTTGATGATGACAATAACCTAAAGGCATACATTTTATGAACAATATTAATCATATTTCAGATAAGTGCTAATTTACTAGGTTTAGCTACTGATGTTTTCAAGAATGTATATTTTCTTGTCTGTTGCTTTAGACCTTTTCAGTGATATTGATAAGTGTTCTGGCCAGGGTAGGATGAGTTATGACATCTCCATGTCAACTCTGAATGAGGTCTTCATGAACCTGGAACGAAAACCAGCGATCAGACAAGGTCAGATCCTTTGCATATTTCACAGAAATCAATTTCCAAATGATCATGTGTCAATTTAATATTTATACTATGTTTTGCATAATTCATATTAAGGACTATGAGTTTTTCCAAATTTGGCTCTGCTGTTGAGACGGGATGCTTGTGGACCCACATCATCAGTAGGACTCAATACAGAGCCCTTCTTGGCTTTTACCAAATCTCTTTTGAAATCCATCAACTTCCTGTTGGATAGTTTTCCCCCATCCTCATGTGCTCACTACTGCTTTAATGCTTTGAGGTTGTGAAAGATCTTAACTAGAGGAGTGAAGTCAAAGAAGATATTTCTGATAAAATATGTTCTTAGTTTATTAATTCAAATTTAATTTCAGTAAAGTCTAAATAAGGAGAATTCTCAGTTTCAACTCCTGAATATTTAATTGACAATAAGAGCTTTCATTCTGGGTGCTCCTTCTATGCCAGATAATAAAAGTGTAAATATACATTCATATATACATACAGTATTACTTCCCACCAAGTGTCATTGACACCATTTTACAGATGAGAAAATAGAACTAAGAACAGTTAAATGACCTTTTCCAATTCATGCTACTTGTAAGGCATTTTTATGGGATTTATATAAAAGTTTGGTTGTTTCAGAGCTGATGCTTTCCCCCTAAAATCCTAGATTATTGATAACTTTCTAGCAAATATTGAGGCTTTAATGTTTGCTATTACTATTGAGAAGTTTTTTTTAAAGTTCTCAAATATTGTTACCTTTGAGATTGGCTTTTCAAAAACTATATGCCAGAATCACCCCTTTCCTGAGTTCTTCTTTTGGTATGTAGTTAGTATGTTTTCCCACTGAGGTCATAGAATTTGTATATTATTGTATGTTTCTCATATTGTTTGCATTGTACCCACAACATTCCAAAATATTTTTTATTTAAAAAGTTTTAATATGCATAGTCATTGGTAATTATAACTGCAGAAAGAAAATATTGAAGAATGGGGATATATAAATTTAATATATAATTAAGTTTATGTTTAAATTTGTGTAAATAATTGTATTGAATAATTCTTTTCAATAAGACGATAACAATGAAACCAAAAATAAAATAATTTTAAATATTTTAAAGAAGAAAATTACTATGATGCCCCAAGATGGCATTAATAATGTGTGTGTGTGTGTGTGTGTGCACGCGCCTATAGATTTTGAACAAACAGACAAGATAAGAGACTCAGAAAGCCCAAGTGAAATGGATCCAGCTTGCTCTTCTCTCCCTGAAGTACACAAGAATGTGAGCGACATGGGCCTCTGGAGAATGCAAGTCTGTGCGATAGCCCGGCTCCGTTTTTTAAAGCTGAAACGTGGAAGAAAAACACTTTTGACCCTGTGAGTATCAGAGTGTTGTGATTTTGTTAAACGAGCAGTTTCAAAAAAGGCTCAAACCAGAGGAGATTTTAAAACTAGAACACAATGCCCAGCATTTCTGCTGGAGAAAAGGTAAATGTCACATTGGATTTTACTGACCGCAGGAATACCTGTAGATTAGCTCTTGATCAGGTTCATACATATAAGTGCATTTAGTTTTCATAGTTGGATGACCCACTGTTCATGCAGCATTGACATTTTAGTCCTGGGTATCATGATGAGACAAGGCTCAGAATGTTTGTACCTGGAGGAATTATCCTTATAGATATGGCACACAAGTGGTTGTGGAATGTTTTATTGAGGAAATAAAATTGCTATAGATTCATATGGTGATTTTCTTTATTGTTTAGGCTATTGGTTTTTGGAATTGCACTGTTTCCTTCGATTATGGAAAGGATAGCAAATTCTATGATAAATGAAAGTGCAAACTGGGAGTTTAAAACAGAATTATATTTCCTCTCTTCTGGACAACTTCCTCAGGAACCTCGTACCAGCCTCTTGATCATCAATAACACAGGTGAACAGGAAAACAAAATTTACATCCAGAAAGAAGTTATTTTTGTTATCAAATACCATATGTGTTAGAGGAAACAAATCATAGGAGAAGAAAATATACATTTATAGGAAATAGTTTATGAAAAATAGTGAATATTTGCTCTGATTTTAGAGATCACAGAATGATGGGGACAAGTGTGAATGCACCTGGGTTACTATTCAATCTGATAGAAGTAACTTATCTACATGATAACCTGAAGCTATGAATTAGAGAGAAATAAACTATTATCTTGGTGGAACCACTTCATTTTCAGATTTCTTTACAGCAGCCTAACTTATACCATAAATATGATACATGCTGACTGAATGCAAAGATGGCCTGTCTACTACACCCCACACTCTACTACTAATTTAAATAGGATTCAGGAAGACTACTTATTTTTTTATGGCAAAGACTGGGTAATTGATTGTTTCCTAAGTGTTTGATTAACTTAAAGGGGAAGTTTATATGTTTCTACTTAAGATGTTAAAAATAAATATAGAGTCAGAGTTCTTTCTTGATGGGTTCCTTACCCAGTCCAGTTTCACATGTATTTATGCTTCAGGATTGTAGATATTTCCTCTCTAAACAAACATGGTCTTTTCATTTCTGTTTCTCATTGTTCTTTTTCCACTTGGGTTTTGGAAAATAAATTTCCTCTCTGCCTTAAAATGAATTTTGCTAATTGTACATTAATTTCTAAGATCTAGATTTTTTTTTAACTTATGAGTATAGTGTTGACTCAGGATCTTTTTCCTCTCCAGTCACTCTGAGGACAGTGTTAGGTATTTGGGGCCTTAAGTTTGGGACTTCTGTGCCATTGTGTTCCTCTTTCCTTAAAATCTGGTGATTATTGCTAGCATGTTCATGTTTTCCTGTGGTCCCCGTCTGGTTGGATCCTGCTGTGAAGATGGAGAGGCATGTGTGGCTGTCCCAGGATACAAGGAAAGCTTTTTTTCCATGGATATGTCCTTCCTATGTGGGGAATTTTGAATTTGCCTGAAGTTTGACCCTATTTGTCCATTCCTCCATGCATCCCAGTATGGACTCCCATTTCAAGCTAAAATACAGCAAACAAGCTTCTTTTCCACTCCATCTTTCCCTGATTGTGGGTTGGAATTACTTCAAGTCTTGCCTGACTCTGTAAGAAATACTGTTTCTTAGAAGGTAAAAATAGCACTCTTCCTTGAGACAGATGCAATATTGCCTGCTCTGTGAGACATGAGGAGGGGCCTGACTGGTCACCTTGCTCCAGGTATGGCAAACTGGTTAAGGACCCTGACTGTGGCTTCCATGCCCACACTGTCCCCTTCTACTCGTTTCCTCTGAGCTTTGATATCCTGGAAGCTGATTTTACCTTGGCAGCTATTGGCTTCTTTGTGCTCCAGGCTGTGCGTTTCCTCAGCTCTTTTTTCTCTTTCAAAGAATATCATTTGCTGCCTTCTTTAGGAGCACATTAAAATTTTTGGTCCAATAGTGGCCCCCTTCTTATTTTCCATTTAATTAGAAAAAAGTACATATCCATGCCATATACAGGAGTGCAATATATATGCAAATATCTTAAATAAAATAAGAATATTTCTGTATTATACATGTACATTTATATATTTACTTTCTATTCAAAGAATAAGGGTGAGAGGAGAGTATTATCATCAGGCTGGACAATCTAACATACTCCTATAATAACTGTATCTCCACAAATCACCAGTTCGAATGTATTTTTTAAAATAAAAGTCATGAAATAGAACTACTTTATTTTGATGATCACACATCAATTTGCATTAAAGGGAATTAAAAAGCTAATTCATCATAGCATAATATTTGTTAAATAGAAAATGGCAGTGAATGATTTATTTTTCATGGCCCAGTATTATTGTGATATCAATAGAGACAGCATGCTGTAAGTATCAACTTTATGTGCGGGGTTCACTAGGAAAACATTTGTAATCTATTTACTCACCTTTATATGGCCTTTTGTTATTGATTTCCTATTAGAATCAAATATTGAAGATTTTATACAGTCTTTGAAGCATCAAAATATACTTTTGGAAGTAGATGACTTTGAAAACAGAAATGGCACTGAAGGCCTCTCATACAATGGCGCTATCATAGTTTCTGGTAAACAAAAGGTACGTTTGTCTCTTAAGTTTTGCCTTTATGACTGCACACAAATGCACAGAAAGTGCTATATTTTAACTCTTAAAAACTGCAGAAAATCAACCCAGTTAGTATATAGTTACTTGACTCAGAAAAACATTTTTAGTCCACATTGAATAAACTGTGATGTTAAAATGGGTGTTTTTGAAACATTTTTCTCCTCTTGAAGTATGTATTTTTTTATATTTGAAAGAAACTAAATTAAGTCATATTGATCAAACTCAATGAACTATTATTACATGTTAAAATTATCATATAATTATGAATTTAGGAAATCCATTTAATACCTAGCTATCTGTATGATATGTTGATAAAACATACTATACTAAACATATACTATACTGTAGTATACTAAAAATATTATAATATCCACACAGACTCTTGGAGAGAAAAGTATTCCTTATATGCTATCTTAATGTGTTTCAATTTAGGAAAAAGTGAATGAGCCATAGAAATCAAGGAACCAGATGAAAATCTATCCTAATCATAAGTGGAACTCTTGCCTCTTACTTTAGTAAAAGCAAGGTGTCAAAATAAATATAGTTATCTTTTTGTTTCTTGCTATAAAGGAAATAAAAACAAAATATTTTGAAAATGTATCATCGAACTCTACCTAACCTAAATGGATTATGAAAAATGCAGTCACTCTGCCAACTTTAGGAAACAACTTTGACAGCTGCTTTATCCTAATACTTACTGCAAATGTTTAAACAACTTGAACCTCTTGATGAACACATGAGCATTTTCATCAACATGAAGTACATTAACCTTGTCTTAGAAAGGGTGGAAATACTTCACTGGCAGTGTAAACATGAATGTTTTATCAACTCTATGTGTATCTCCTACTGAGATAAAATTCCTATTCTTGCTCATCATGAACTGCCTAGACAACAAAAGTTGAAACCTCCTCATGAAGACACAATGGGAACAAAATCATAGGCATTTAGCAAAACCAATAAAAATTTGCATGAAATGGATGCTGACTGTGTACTATCCACTGTGCTAGGGCCTTTTATATATAATCTCATTAATCACGTAATGACCTATTTAGTATCCTCTTTCACAGATGAGGAAACTTCTGCTCAGGAAAGTCTGTTAACTTTGAAGATGGACACTTTGCTGGAATGTGGCACTTCAGCTTCTTATATATAAAAACTGTACCTTTGTTCTTCTAGGACTTAGAATTAAACTTATTGATGTTGTTTTTGTTTATTTTAAGGATTATAGATTTTCAATCGTGTGTAATACCAAGAGGCTGCATTGTTTTCCTATCCTCATGAATATTATCAGCAATGGGCTACTTTGGATGCTTAATCATACACAATATATTCGAATTGAGAGAAGTCCATTTAATCTGGTAAATATTGAATATAGTGATCCTGAAATTAAGAATTTGAAAAGTAACCCATGTTTGCCCTCTTTAAGGTTTAAATATGCATGATTAACTACTCACCCTAAAAATTATTATTGTGTCCTAACATTTTAAATATGTTAATCAAATAAGATGTGTTTTTTTTTTCCTTGCTAGTTTATTATCAGAGAAATTTCATCAGTGAATACTTCTGAATATTTTGTCATATTCTCCTGGGGGATGCTCTGGAAAGTCATAGAGACATTCCAGGAAGGATATTAGGGAGGGGGACAGAGACAGAAAACACTGAATTAGAAATCAGGAGCCTTTTACATGTTCCTTTAATTTTATAAATTTAACATAATTTACTAATGGAAACTCCATTGACTATGTGAGTTAAGTGACTAACATGGATGAGGATTTGCCAGTCCTTGGCTGGAATACTTTCTGATTCATTCCTTCATGGTTCCTCTGTCGCAAGGGTTTCTTATGCCCATGAGCTGCACTTGCAGGATTTGGGCTACAGCCTGTCTTCAGACAATTAAGGAAACAATGGTTGGAGACAGAAGAGCAGAGGGCCCTCCACACTGAGCTCCAATCTTATCACCTCCTTTCTTTGTCTCTGCAGCCCAGAAGTGACAGTGGCTTCCCATTTCATCATTCTTCTTGAATGATGATCCCCCATATAACCACTGCATGATTATTAGAAAACAATAAGTATTTGAGATCCTATAGTTTTCTGGTTGTTGCCAAAAGGAATCTCTCGAAACTGATTCCAAATATTTCACACCAAAAGTTTGGAAGACCAATCAGCAGGATTAGAAATAGACCAATTAAAAGGAAATTTCACTTTATGACAAAGGTGTTGAGTTCCATTTTGGCTCCATTGCATGGTTGTTACACTCAAGTGCAGATTTTCTGTAGGTAATGGGGAGAATGGGAATGGTATAGATTTGAGAGGTGAGTAATGTCTATGCATCCACGAGTTGAATGTGATCAGGGGGAATACACAATGGTGTCTGAAGGGAACTTTTCTGAAAGTGGAACCAGTAGGTAGCAGAAAGGGACAGTTACCCTCTCTTGGTTTTTCAGTTTTCTCATGTCTTTGCCTGTTTGCTCAGGATCAAAATGGACCTAAATTCCATGGCTACTCTCTTATCATACCCCATCCCCCAGTTGCATACTCCTTCATTCCTATGATGACAGTAATGCATTTTCCCACCTGGAGAAAAATTGGAATTTATAGACACAGACTCCAAAATCTTAAAATTTGAGAATTTAAAAATTATTCTGAGACAGACTTGTGTTGTTCCTCTAATTTTATCCATGAGATAGTCCTATATGCTGCTTGGGCACAGGGCCCAGTCTCAGACAGACACTGATTAGGGGGTAGTGATTTAAATTTTATTTCCTCAAAGATGTATTCATTGGCACCAACTTTCCTTTTCAGCTCTGTGCTAGAGAATGTATCCTTGCTAAGGACTTCACATACCCATCTGTGATTTGCTGAGAAAGACATGTTGCCTAGGCCTGAGTTATCTGTTAATGAAGGGTCACAATTCATGAATTATTACTATTTTTTTTATCATGGTAAAAAAAACATAAAACTGAACATAATAACCATTTTAAAACATACAGTTCAGTATTATTAAATACATTCACATTGTTGTGAAATAAAGTTCTAGAACTTTTATGTCTGGTAGAAGTAAAACTCTCTATCCATCAAACAGTTCCTATTCCTATCTCCTCTCCTGCTCCTGGGGAGGAACCATCACTCTACTTTCTATTTCTATGAATTTGACTACTTTAAATACCTTAATATTTGTTTCTTCTTGACTGATTTATTTCACATAGCATAATATCCTCCATGTTCATTCATGTTGCAGCATGTGACAGATTTTCTTCCTTTTTAGAGCTGAATAATGTTTTATCGTATGTATATATACCATATTTTGGTTATCCATATATGCACTGGTAGACATTTGGGTTGGTTCCATCTCTTGACTATTGAAGTAATGGTGCTATCAACGTAGTGTGCACGTACCTCTTAAAAACCCTGCTTTGTGTTCTTTTGGATGTATACCCAAAAGTGAGACCTAAATCATTTCTTTTTTTTTTTTAATTGGTTGTTCAAAACATTACAAAGCTCATGATATATCATCTTCCATACATTTGATTCAAGTGGGTTATGAACTCCCATTTTTTACCCCAAATACAAGTTGCAGAATCACATCGGTTACACATCCACATTTTTACATAATACCATATTAATGAGTGTTGTATTCTGCTACCTTTCCTATCCCCTACTATCCCCCCTCCCCTTCCCTCTCATCTTCCCTCTCTACCCCATCTGCTGTTGTTTAATTCTCTCCCTTGTTTTTTTTTTCCCCTTTCCCCTCACAAACTCTTATATGTAATTTTGTGTAACAATGAGGGTCTCCTTCCATTTCCATAGTTTCCCTTCTCTCTCCCTTTTTTCTTAGAGTTGAAGCCTCACATCAAGTAATAAGAAATCACTTCCCCCCCGTTGGATGACTGTAAACTAGAACTATATTTTGACTTCTCAATATTTCAAAAAGCATATTCTTTGATTAATAGTGTATGTTTCATGAAAAAATTTACTATTACGTTTTTGCTTCCAGAACCATCTGTACATCTGGACTGGGTTGCCGGATGGTTCTCCATTCATGTTTTTTGTTGTGTGCTGCCTTTCTCCTTACATCGCCATGAGCAGTGTCACTGATCACAAAGTAAGAGAAAGTAGGGAAGTGCAAGCATTTAAAGTTATTGTTTTTTTTTTTTAATGCTCTGTGTTCAAAATGTTTTCCCATGAGAAAAACACTTAACTGTATTTTAATTCAGATCATATTGTTGATCATTATTTCTAGCAAGTTAAAAACTTACTTTTAAAAATGCAAAATACTTTTTACTTCAAATTTACAGCATAAGTGCAATATTTTTTTTGACTCAGTGTAAACCCTTAAAGAGCAATATTATATAAAAAAAATCTTTGGACTACATTATTTCCTAACTCAGGAGGAAATCATTGATGTTGAAATTGAAGACCAAATTTAACTTGGGTTCCTTCTGCATTCTGTACATGCAATTTTATGTTATATTTGTATTTAGTTATGCTCATTATCCAGACATAACATGAAAGTTAGTTTTAGATAAGACTGCTTTCATCATCTTGAGCCAGTAACTCTATGGAAAGATGAATACACAAAGGAAAATTTATGTCCTTCAGGTCACAAAACATTTCTTTGGAAGGAGCTTAATGCTTTTATATATATATATA